ACAGCAGTGGAATGAAGAAGTGACCTTGAGCCTGGCAGAAGTGGGAGTGGGGAAGGTGTTGTTTAAGTTGTATGTGTTTCTCACTTTACAAGTCTATTTTAATTGACAATCAAGTTATTTTTCTATAAGCTGAATCTGTTTTCCGCGTGACAATAAGTGATTTCCCCATCCTTATCTCAACCCATGAACTTCTTCACCCTATTTTCTTCTGCCCTGTTGAGCAGGAGAAATGAGAGAGGGGCTGGGTGGGTGTCTAGCAGCCAAGCAAAGGCAACCCACCACATTTGCTTTTTATCTGAGGAGCTGAGGTGCTGGCTCCACACAGAGAATGGCACTCCTGGGGTGGGATGGCCATGCAGTGGTGATTGCCACTGGGATCTGTGTGCACCAGTCACCCTGAGTGTGGGGTTGTCTCACATGTTCTCTTTTTGTGTTCAATAGCACCATTTTTGTTGATTTCTGAATGGTTTTGCTCTGTTTGTATTTTTCTTTCATCTCTCCATGTCCGCCACAGCTGCCCCACTGTGTTAACCAAGCCCCAGCCCTCACCTCCTCCAGTCCTTCCAAAAGACCACTTCCTCCACCTGCCTTGCAAAGCCATGAGAATAAAAGTCTCCCTGTGTTTACAGAGCCAACAAACTGTGTGCATGTCTAACAAACTAATCCTTCCATTCTCCCCCCATCCTCACCATGGAGTTTGCGCCTCCTTTCTCCTTTTGAGCTTCCTTTGGCTCTCCTGTGCTGTGTGAGGTTGAGTTTGGTCATTTGCTGTTCCAGGACTGTTGCATTGCATGGTTCAGGAGGCACAAGAAACCTGTTCCTGAGGTTCTGAGAAGTAATTTGTTTGCCAATCAGTAATAAATCCAAAACTAACAGCAGGAACAACCAGGATGTCAAATTCTTATCTACTAGAAGTTTCTGCACATTCTCTCTAGAAAACAAAATGCAGAATTCTGAGTTACACAGCCTACCAAGACCCTGAGACTTTTTAAAGATTGATTGAATTTTGAATATAACCTTGCTTTGAATTGAGTCTTGGACCAGGGGCTCTTCCAGGCTAAGTAGCTCTGTGATTCTCAGGTTTTAATAGTGTTCAAATATTGCCAAATTTGCTGTGCAAATGTGGGTTCCTTGATGAGCACTTGTATCCACTGAAACTTCATCATGACCTGAGATACTTTATCTTTGTAAAAATCCATTTTAAGTTCCATTAGGTGCCCTTACTTTTCTATTACCTTAAATCTGTTGTAAATCTCGGGGGACAATTGTGTAAAGAGTTCTGCCAAGCTCTTAAGAGCTTCAGAAATAGAGAATTTGGGGTGAATTTTCACTTGTTTTCTATATTTGTCCCTATCCCCAGACTTAGAGCCCTTGTTCTCTGGGAAGGTTTTGTGCAGTTCAACAATGATCAGTGTAAGACCACTGAAGTTTGGCTTGGGTTTGTGTCAAAAGTCAAAAAATTACTTTGGATGAACTTGCAGAGCTTAAACATCCTGACTCTTGCTGCCCTGGTGAGGACAGAGCACACTGAGGGATGAACAGAAAAAGAAGATTGCACTCACTTTTACTGCATGGTTTTTGTGACATCTTCTAGGACAGGGTACAAAGGGTTATTTCCCACTCTAGTCCCACCCTTCCACACTTTTGTGTTCAGTCACAAAAAGAAAAGCACATTTTGCAACAGCCTAAAAAGCAGCTTTGGATCAGTTACAGTTCAAGTAAAGGGACAGGTTACATAAGTGACAGCAGGAGAACTCCCCAGCCAAGGAGGGATGGGATGGAAAAACAGCAGCTACTGCAGCCCCTTTTGATCTCTGCTTTCCCTGGATCAGATGCCAGGTATTGTCCTGCTGTAGAACCAGGAAGCTGTAAATATTGGTTTACAAATCAAACATGTGGGGATGGAAGCTGGGGAAGTGAGAGCAGAGGGGAATGCGATATTGAGCTACAGAAAGGAGAGGTTGGGCTGCTGAGCTGCACCCTCTGGGGACTCTGCCTATAAATTCTGCTCTCCTCCTGCTCCAGCAGCTCCAAGGAGATGGCTGCCACCAGGATCTTGCCCTGGGTGCTGATGGTAATTCTTCACATTCAGGTGGATGCAGGTAAAGAGCCTCACTTCCAATCACCTTTGTAGCTTTCTTTCACCTTGGGCTAACGTTGGGATTTAATGGTAAAAGAAGATTTACCAGCATGGCTCAGCTCTTTTGAAAACCATGAGCAGGTCAAACCTATGAGCTGAGCAAATCAATGTTATCAAAACTGCTTAATAAATTTAATTTTTTTCCCATCATTTTTTGTAAAGAGCCTAGTAAAGGAAATTAAAATGAATATACTGCAAAGTCAATTATAACATTTTCCTATCCTTTATATTGGAACAATGGATTTAAAGACTAATAAGTATTTTCTGGACTATATACATGTTTATTTTAATGAGGGTGAGGTGTACAAACAGTGGGGTTCGTATTTGATTAGATTATAATGGAAATTATAATGGTAATTTTTGTTAGTCTAATTTCCCAGAGACTAATTCCTGTTGGGAGTGTAATTTAATTTGGTTGCAGAGTCAATGATCTGCCCAGCCACTTCCACCCCTTTGGGGACCAATGCAAATATTGGTGGGTCTGATGGGAGGGGGGATATTTCAAACAGGGTGAAATAGGATTTTCCTGTTCTAAAACCACTTTTCCCCTTTCCAGGTGAGACCTCATGGCTGAGCAGGGTGCTGGCAGAGACAAAACCTTTCTTTTTCAGCAGCTGCTGCGGTGTCCTCTATGCAGGGATGGAAAAACATCAAATAGTGTTGCCACAGCTGCTGTCTTTCCACCCCTTCCACTTTCAGGTGTAAAAAGACATCCAGCCCCACAGATCTGTGAATATCCAAGTGGTTACAGGTTTCCTCCCGGATTATGGGGGATTCATTCTGCTCCCTGTCCCTCTCTCCCAGCTCAGGGGCTGGGGGACCTGAGAAAACTGGTCCCACTTCAAGGCACTCCCTGGGCCACTTGCAGGTTCTGCTGGGCTCACAGAGACTGTTGATGGTTCATGGGAGAAAACACTGCTGAGGTTGACTAAAATCGACAGAAATCTCCTGCATCTCAAGTTTGTTGGCTGCAAATTGCTCCAGACTGAAACAGGGTGTGAGGAAGTTTCATGTTAAATTTGCCTTGTTGACCTTCACATCTGCCATCTTATCTTTTTCTTCTCTAGTGACAACAAGACCTCCCATAACAACTGAGTCCACGACTAGTAAGTAGAATTGATCTGATTGTTATTTTATATAATAGTGACAGATCTGTGACCCAGTCCAAAAGCACGGGGACAGAGATCAATCACCTTTCTGGGCGTGCCAGAGCCCTGTCCTGCGGGACACCTCTGATCTCTTGGTGCCACCTGGAGGCTTTCCATCAGCCCTGGCAGGGAAAACCTTCTTTGACCCAGCTAGAGAAACCAGCAGCGTGGTTGTGGTGGAATGAGTGGTGCTGGGGGTGGAAGGGAATGAGAGGGAGCTTAGACGTGGTGGGAATGTCAGCAGAACCTGGGACAGGGAGCCCTTTTAACCTGCAGCTGTGCCCGATGAAAATAATGAGATGTGCAGCCTCCTTTATCACTGGCCTTGTTCTGACCACCTCCCCAGATATTTTATCTTCATTTCTGTTGAGGTTTTCATTGCTTGATTTGGAGAAGGAGGCAGTTTTTCACAGCCTATTCTCATATCAGTAGCAGAGCCATCACCTCCTGATCAGGTCAGGTGAAACCAGCAGACAGAATGGAAGCATTGTTCCAGCTGAAAAGGACCTTTAAGATCATCAGTTCAACCATGAACCCAGCAGCCCCACACATTTCCATGTCTGCATGTGCCACATTTGCATGTCATTTAAATCCCCTCAAGGGATGGCCACTCCTTGGGCAGCCTGTTCTTTCCAGGAGGAGGTTTCCCTTATCTCCAGTCTGGCTTGAGGCTATGCCCTGTTATGGGGGAGAAGGGACTGACCCCAGCTGGCTGCCACCTCCTTTCAGTGTAGCTGTGGGGAGCAATAAGGTCCCCCCTGAGCCTTCTTTCCTGCAGGCTGAGTCCCCCCAGCTCCCTTGAGTGGATCCCCACAGATCTGTGAATATCCAAGTGGTTACAGGTTTCCTCCCGGATTATGGGGGATTCATTCTGCTCCCTGTCCCTCTCTTCCAGCTCAGGGGCTGGGGGACCTGAGAAAACTGGTCCCACTTCAAGGCACTCCCTGGGCCACTTGCAGGTTCTGCTGGGCTCACAGAGAGTGTTGATGGTTCATGGGAGAAAACACTGCTGAGGTTGACTAAAATCGACAGAAATCTCCTGCATCTCAAGTTTGTTGGCTGCAAATTGCTCCAGACTGAAACAGGGTGTGAGGAAGTTTCATGTTAAATTTGCCTTGTTGACCTTCACATCTGCCATCTTATCTTTTTCTTCTCTAGTGACAACAGGACCTCCCACAACAACTGAGTCCACGACTAGTAAGTAGAATTTCTCAGACTGTTACTTTATATAATAGTGATAGATTTATGGTTTTGTCACAGTATTTATGGTTTGGAAGAAATAAAAATTATTTAAAAGCTCACATTTTCTTTAGGGTGGGGATGGGGAATGTACATGAAAAGTAAATTATCTGGGAGGGTGGAATTTGGGGATGGCTTTGCCTTCCAGCAACCAGCCTCCTTGTTAGAATGAAAAAGGTCTTCTGTCACTTGTGCCCTTCAGTGGGATCTTCACTCACTAGAGGAAGGGTAGAAAGCACTCACAACTCCCAAAGAATTTTGCCCTAATTCTCTTGCTCTCTGTGTGTTTTTTTTCCTCTGCTTGTCCTCCTCCACAGTTCCAATCATCGCTGATGGTGAGTCTGTCTGCCATGGTTCTTGTCACAGCCCTGTGACAGAAGGGCAGAGGGATGTGACGTGCCTGCCCCAACCTCTCCATCCCACAGCGTGGGAGCTGAGCAGGGCCTTCCAGCCCTGGGCTGCGCTGCAGGTGGATGCAGCCATGCCCAGGGAGGCTGTGGGATGTCATTCCCTGGAGCCAGAGCACCAGTGGCCTGACCGAGGGGTTTGTGTCTCCCCAAGAGATCCACCTGAGGCTGAGCGGCGGCCCCAACGGGTGTGCGGGCAATGTGGAGATCTACTACTTTGGCCTCTGGGAGAAGGTGTGTGGCTACCTGTGGGACATGCAGGACGCCCAGGTGGTGTGCAGGCAGCTGGGCTGTGGCTTCCCTCTGGCAGTCATGTACCCCTTCCCTCCAAGCGACTCATACTCCTATGAGTTCACCGAGATGGACTGCACGGGCGATGAGAGCTTCCTGTGGCACTGCCCCTACAAATACCTGTACGGCTCCTGTTACCACGGAGATGCTTCTGTCGTCTGCTCAGGTGGGTGTCTGTGTTTTGGTGCCATTTTCCTGAAGAAAATCAGTCTGGATGGAGGTGGGATGAAGGTTGCCCAGCCCTTGCTCCGTGCTCAGGGCAGCAGCAGGTTGTGGGTCCACGTGCCTGATTTCAGAGGGAGCATCAATCTCACGTTTGCAGACTGTAGCTGGGAATCTGGGGTTTGGGCATCACTCCTGCACAGAGCAGGGTGTGAGGAGAGGGATGGTTTTTAGTCAGGCCATCCTCCCTGTGGGTCCCTCCATAATTTTCCATGAAATTAAATACACGTAGGGCAAGCCAAGCAGTTCTAGTGCCTCACATCCTCTGATTTTCTCCTTCCAGACTCAGGAATGACAGTGACTCCAACAACAGGTAACCAGAGATTTCTGTTCATATATGGGTTTTCCATGGGGTTTTCTTTCTCTGGGATGCTCTGTATAAGCTGCACTCACAGATCCTGGCTAATGTCCCTAACATTCAGGGAGATGTGGGATTGCTTGGGATCATTTGGGACTGAGCAGACACTTCTTTTGTGGGAGATGTTTGGCACTGGTCTTCATGGTGCTGCAGAAGGGATGCCCCTGGGCAAGTGCTGGTGCAGTTGGCACTGCAGCCATCTCAGTCCTGCCACACTGCAGTGCTGACTGCGGGGTTTGGCTTTCATTGGGGTTCAGTGGGGATCCCATTGGAGAGGGGGGACTCCCAGAAGGATGATCCTCTTGGGCAAAACACTGCTTGCTCACCTGCTGCTCTCTCCCTGCAGCACCAACTGTCTCCAGACTGATGTTCCCCACGCCATGGAATACAACAGGTACGTCCAGAGCAGCTGTGGGGTTGGACTGGCTTCTGCCCTCCATAAAGAATCACAGAACCACAGGATGATGAGGTTGGAAGGGATCTCTGGAGTACATCTGGTCCTACCCCCTGGCTAAGAGCAGGATCAGCCAGAGCTGGCTTCCCAAGACCATATCCAGAGAGCTTTTGGCTATTTGCCACCTCTGTGGGCAAACTGTGTCTGTGCTCAGTCACCCTTGCAGGGGAAAAGTGTCTCCTGATGTTCAGAGGAAATCCCCTGTGTTTCAGTTTGTGTCCATGGTCTCTTGTTGGGCACCCCTGGAAAGAGCCTGGCTTCTGGAGAGGGTTGACTCCCAGCAGGTTTTATCTCTTAGGAAAAATGCTGGGAGTGAACCCTGATGATTTCTTCCTGTAGCACCGGGTGCCTCCAGCTCAACTTCCCCTCTGTCACTGACCACATTTAGGTCCAGAGGAGTTAAGGGGTCTGATTTTCTCCTTCCCCAGGTGTCCCACTGGACAGCCAACCCCATGGACCTGGGTTACTGTATGAGCTGGGCTGGGGGGATGCAGGGGTGAGGTTTTGGGGTGCCTGGCAGGGAGGGTCTCTGTGGGGCTGTGGCAGAGCCTCCTTGGTGGGGCCGTGTCCTTCTCTGATGGATTCTGGCAGTGGGATAAGACCTCTCTGCCCTTGCCTGGGCTCTGCTCTTTTCCTCAGGGAACTTCTCCTGTGGTGGCTTACTGCATGGATTGTCTGGCACCCTCCAGAGCCCGGGATACCCCAACTCCTACCCCGACAACTCCTACTGCGTGTGGCGCATCTGGCTGTGGGACCCGGCCCGCAGGATCCAGCTCCGGTTTACAGATGTGGAGTGAGTCCAGCCAGGCTCTGGGGTGGCTTTGTCCCCACTGTGGGACCTTGGCAGCCTCTGCCCCAGCACTGGGGTGAGGTGGGAATGGGGCTGCTGCACCCTACAGCTGTGCTCAGACAGATCCTCCTCTTATAGCAGAAACAGGCAATCCTCCAGCCAGGGAATAATGTGCTCTGACTCCACGATTCAGAATGCTGAACAAATTGCTTCATTAAAACTGTACTATATTACACTAATACTATATTGTAACTAAAGAGATACTAAAGATACTATACTACTAAAGATATTATACTAAAGAGATACTATACTAAAGAATACTAAAGAAAAACCCATGACTGTCTGAGACAGCCAGGACACAGCTTTGAGTGATTTGGCTAATCACTCAAAACAACTTTCACCCGTGTTCATTTAACCAAATCACTTTTGGTAAACAATTTCCATAACACATCCCACATGTGCAAAAACAGGAGCAGCGACTAGAGATAAGAATTGTTTTCTCCTTTGAGGTTCTCATTGTCTTCCCCAGGAAAAATCCTTGGGGATTTTGTGCCTGCTGCTGTCGCTACAGAGCGCGGCACGGCGCAAAGCACCAAGACTCCATCAGAGAGAGATTTATTATAGCAACATGTTGCTTTTATAGTTTTTCAAGATATTTATATTCACTTAATGGACATATTCACTGCCCATTGGTCATAAGAAAGAAACAAAGTTCTCAATAGGTGAACAAGAAGCCACGTCATTCTGTGAGCCAGCTAGAATCTGTATCTTTTAACTTTTTCCCTTTCATCACATTGTCATGGTGACTCTCAGGTTCTCTAGCTGGTCACAGTGACCCCAAGATGTGTTAGAAAGTCTTTTTTCCCAGCCTGGCGGTCAAAGAAGGAGTCAGAGCTCTTCATTTCTTGGTCTCAAGGTTGTTTATTGTATCTTATCTGTAAAATTTTTTCTCCTGACCTGCTGAGGTCCACTCAGCAGGACAGTCAGAGGCACTCTGCCGGCCCCCAGGGGCAGTGTTATCTTTTTGTACTAAAAACTATGTGTACAATATTTACAATTACTTTCCAATACCTATCACCTGTGTTAGACAGTGAGCTTCTACTCTAAACCAATCCAAAAGTGCCACCATCACAGCAGAAGATGGAGGCCAAGAAGAAGGAGGAGAAAGGCTGGACATGCCCAGATTCCTCCATCTTGCTCCCTGAACCCTCATTCTAAAAACCCCAACAATTTTTCACCCTGTGATAAATTCACTGTCATTCTACTTAAACTTTTGTGGCTTGTAATTCTTCATATAAGGTTGGTAATTGTTTTTTCCAAGCGCTAAATCAAAGGCACAGGGGTCTTGGGCTCTGTGCCAGGGTCTCTGAGCCCCCTGGGCAGGGGCTCGAGTCCTCCAGGGCAGCCAGAGGAATTTCCTGGGTTCCAACAGGTGACAACCTTGGTGTCTTCCTCCAGAGAGATCCGGGGCTTTCCTTATCTTCATGAGGCCTTCTGTGGCTCACAAGAGCAGCACAAAATGCCTTTCCCACATGCTGCTCTCTGCGAGGAGAGCTGAGGCCACATGTCCTCCCTGCAGGCTGGAGGGCAGCAGCTGCACCTTCGATGCCATCGAGGTGTTTGATGGAGGCTCAACCCAGAGCTGGCTCCTGGGCCGTGTTTGCTGGAACGACCACCGTGTCTTCAACTCCTCTGGGAACCAGCTCACCGTCCTGTTCCGCAGCGACGGCAGCGTCACCAGGAGGGGCTTCCACGCCTACTACTCCTCATTTCTTGCCTTCAATGCCACCGTGGGTAAGACCGGAACTGTCCTTTACTCCTCACCAGGGCAGGGGCTCAAGCTCAATCACAAAGAGCTTCTGGTGGTTCTCAATGCCTTGTGTGCATCCAGACACTCTGGTCCCACCTAGAGGCCTCCTGGCTCAGGGGTGGTTTTCAGGGGAGGATGGCCATGAAGCTGCTGCCAGACACTGTTTCTATGCCTGGTGGGCAGGAATGGGACTCTCTCCACCTCCCCCAGTGCTGCCACCGAGCTATCATCAATTTTCCTGTTCTGTGCTGTAGGCAGAAGAGCTGCTCAGCCCAGGCACACTCATTGCTGCAGAGGCCAAAGGCCACCTCTTGTTTTTCCAAAGTAAAGAGAGCTGATGTGCTCAGCCACAGTGCAGAGAACTCCTTTTGGCAGCTGAGGCTGGCTGCTGCTCTGTCTGCAGTGCCAGGCTCCCTCTGAATGGCAGCTGCACTTTCTGCTTGACCATGCCCTCCTCCCAGTTTGGTGTCACCACAAACATGCTGAGGGTCCCAAATGTGCTGAGGGTCCACTCCATCCCACCCTGCTGACCATTAACAGAGGAAATCAAGGCCCTGCTTTGGTGGGAGCTGTTGGACGTGCAGAACACCGGCTGCACCCTGGGCTGGTGGGTGGAGAGGGAGGGCTTGGAGCCACACAGGGACCCACCGTGTGTCCAGGCAGTGATTGTGGGTCTGGTGTTGCTGTGTCCCTTCAGGAGCCCTTCTGGGGAGGGGTGACCCCCACAGGACTGTTTCTCTTAGGCGAAATGCTGAGTGTATTTTGTATTTCTTATCACCTGCTGCTCTCTCCCTACAGCTCCCATTACTTCTACTGCGTCACCAACTCCAGGTAGGTTTGGAGGACTTGAGTAAGTTTATGAATTGGATATTTATCAACTTATTTCCTTTTAAAACAAAATTATTTTATTTTTTTCTTCCTCCCTTTGGTCATTAGCAATTGTAATAGGGGGTTCCTCTTTCTAGGAACAGCTGATCTCCACAATTCCAGCCTCAAAACTGTCCAGTGGTGTGGAAAATATTTGTGTTCTGCTAGTGCAGGCACTGGAGATAAGCATTATAAAATCTATTCAGCATGGTTAGCATCTCCTAACCTGCTTTCAGATGTATATGAACCTAATGGAGAGGCCCCTGAAGCTGATAGAAGTCACTATCTCTATGTTTAGACATAAACTTCACACAGATGTACTCCAAACACAACCTTAAAGGTGCATAAATATCTTTTTCCTCTTGTATTTTTCTCTGCAGAAGATTATTCTTGTGGTGGCTCGCTCTTCTCTTCATCTGGTACCTTACAGAGCCCATTTTACCCCAGAAATTATCCAAACAATGCTGACTGTGTGTGGGAAATACAAGTAGAAAGCAACTTCCGTGTCACGCTTGTATTTACAGATATTCAGTAAGTAAGAATTTATTACTTGGGAAGGTGAATATACAGGACTGACAACTTGGACTTACTAAGCAATGACCTACTTGATTTCAAGGATCTTCATCAAAGCTTTTAGTATATCTGGAGAGGGAAAATGTGTTAATTTTTAGTCAAAAATGTGGTTAGTATCTACTGAGACAGAAATTGGAGGCTGTACATTCTGTTCCAAAGATTTGACAGTCAGACCAATCAAGTGTATTCTTCTGCTACAAAGACCTAATCTGACTAAAAACCCAAACCAACAAGCAAACAAAAACTAAAGAATATAAAAACAAAGCATAAAACTAAATAGTTACGTTGCTTGCCAGGATGGAAGGTGGCAGATGCCTCTCTGACTATGTGGAAATCTACGATGGGCCCCTGCACAGCTCTCCTCTCCTTGGCAAGATTTGTTCTGGTTATTACCCCACGTACACATCGTCCTCCAACCTGCTGAGCGTCCGCTTCCACAGCAACTCCCGATACACGTACAGAGGGTTTCAGGCCAACTATCACTCCACTCCTGCTGATGACAGCACCAGTAAGTTCATCTTTAAAGCAGAAACATGCTTTTTCAATTATTTTCTAGTTCACTGGTTGTCAATCTTGTTAGTGTTTTAAATTAGATATGTAAAAATTAAATTAGCTCTGTGGCGTTTTTGTGGAGGTTCGAGTCCATGGTTTGGATTCTCAACTCCTTCTGCCATATCAGCTGCTTCTGCAAAAGATGGTGTTTATTTAATCCACTGCTTACAACCTTTTTTGGTCACTTCAGTGAGCTTGTAACATATTTTCTTTGCCATCCACTAGCACTGCTGTGTTTGCCAGACTACATGCACGTGGTTGTGAGCAGATACTTCCTCCAGTACCACGGCTACTCTGCTTGGAACCTGACCCTGAATGACCCCACTTGCAGACCCAACATCACATCAAATTCCGTGTCATTCGACATTCCGTACACTCGCTGTGGCACTGTCAGAGAGGTAGGGCTGAACGTTTCAACAAAGTGGGCAAAAACGGGAGGATATGAAAATTCAAACCGGAGAATTTGCTTTGAAAACCAGCACAAATTGGGACCTGCAGGGACTGGAAGTGTCCTGGTGATTGTGGGTTGTCTCCCTCTCTCCTGAAGGATATTTGCACTTGCATTTCCTGCCTCTGCTAACAGAGCATTCCCTTACAGCCCCTTATCCATCTCCAAAGGAATAAGCTGTGGAAGGATACAAATACTTGGCATTTTCAAGGTCCCAGGTTGAGTGTGATAGCTATAAAGGTTTCAAAGCTTTCACTAAACACGACTAATGATGTTATAGCCAGATTTCAGCTTAAATAATGTGCTGGACTTGAACCTTCACGTACTTAATGTTGTACAGGTTGTATTTAATTCTGTTATTCTGCATTGATTGTGAGTAGTTCTCTAGGTCAAAATTGTGGGTGCTGAATATCACATGAAGATTGCAGATTCTTATCTTGAGAACAGAAATGACTAGATTCAGACTTTTCAACATCAGACTTTCTGGGAAATAATGTTTTTACAGTGCACATTGCTGTAAGGACGTTCAGCAAAGTTCAGAATGTATAGTAGGGTACCTGAATATATGAATTAATTTTATATTTTATGTGCCAAACAGGGAAACAACGACACAATCAGCTATTCCAACATTATTAGAGGGTCCTCTTCTGGTACATTAATCACAAGAAATAGAAATCTTCTCTTGCATGTCAACTGCAAGATGCTCCAGAACACCTGGGCAAAAACGATGTACGTCGCAGACGACAATTTTGAAGTCAACGAAACTCAGTATGAGAGATACGATGTAAACCTCACATTTTATGACTCCTCAAGCTTCTCGAGGCCAGTGTATGACTCACCCTACCGTGTTGGCATCAACCAGAATTTGTTCCTGGAAGCTTCCCTGCACAGCTCTGACCCATCCCTGGAGTTATTTCTGGACACTTGTGTGGCATCTCCCACTCGCCACAATTTTACAACAAAATCCTATCCTATAATCGAGAATGGGTGAGTTCTTATGAATTACAATTACAAATAAAACAGCCTTCAAGCTCCTGTATCTCTTATTAATTTTTATTTTTTTATTTAATGGAATAGTGTGAATATAGCATGCATTAATGACAGCTTCTAATTAATTAATGGACAAGAGCATTCAGGGTTTACTGGGAAAAGGGAGATGGATTGACCCAAAATATAACACACACACCCCCACAGCTTAAAATAACAACTAGACTAAGTGGCTATGGCCAGTTCACAGTGGATTATTATTAGTATTAGTATTAGTATTATTAGTATTACTTTGCAATTATTATAGTTTAGTTTATTTTTATTTTTATTATTAATTATTAAAGTAAAAGTTATTAAATTTATACTAATTATTAATTATTAGTTATTGTAAATATTAATTATTATAAGGTAATAGTGAAATGCCTCAGGTAAGGTTAATTTACCTTCACAGAATCCTACAAACACCAGGTATCAGACACACGACAGGCTGAGGAAAGGCAATGTGGTTGAATTATGCCAAAAAAAGGCATTTAGGTTTTCTGACTTGCAGCTTTCTGAACTGTTTTCATTATGCTAAAAATCACTTTTCATGTCATGTGTTTTATTGCATGTAAATGACTGACTGCAGTGTGTATTCATGAGAGGGGTTTTTTTTTGTTTCTTTTTAGGTGTGCCAAAGATCCCACCTATGCTACATATTACTCACCCTTCAGACACACCCTCAGGTTTAAATTCAACGCCTTCCAGTTCATTCAGAGCAACCCAGAGGTTTACCTGCAGTGTGAGCTGGTGGTCTGCAGGGCCTATGACTATTCCTCCAGGTGCTACCAAGGCTGTCTTCAAAGGTCCAAGAGAGAGGCCAGCTCTGACCTGGAAAGTGTGATTGTTGTTGCTGGCCCAATACAGCTTTGGAAACCTGAGATAATGGATGAACTTGGGTCTGAGTAAAACTGTCTCCTTTGACAGACAGCATCTTTAAATGCCAATTGAATTCTGGAAGAAGCCATGCTGCTAGGTTGCCAGAAGCTCTAGAATAAATATTAGGAATGTGCTCTCTGACTCATGCCTGTTAATCCCACTTCACATCAGTCACCCCCAAATGACAAAAATGCTCCCTCAGCAGTTCTATGGGGAGTGAAATTTATGATTTTTAAATTGTGTGTTGTTTGCTTTCTTAATGGTAAAACTTGAATGTTGAAATTGCAGTTTAGGTTCTATAAACAAGTTGTATTAATATACCTGTGCCTGGATATATTAGAGTGCAAGAAATCTGTTCATCTAGAATAATATTTTCCAGCATTTTTTAAGGTTTGGGGCATAACACTATGAGGGATAAAGCATGACCAGGTCTTTTAATCTCTCCCAGACCTGAATTCATTTGTCATCCAGGAAAACATGAACTCAGCTGCTGTTCCATCTGATGTTTCCTGTGCATAATTTAATTTTTGCTGTCAGCCCTTGGCAGTTCATGGAATCACAGAATATGGAAGGGCTCCACAGGGATCATTGAGTCCAGCTCCTGTCCCTGCACAGGCACCCCAGCAATCCCACCCTGGCAGTGCTGCCCAAACTCCTGGAGCTCTGGCAGCCTCAGGGCTGTGCCCATTCCCTGGGGAGCCTGGGCAGTGCCAGCACCCTCTGGGGAAGAGCCTTTCCCTAAATCCAACCTAAACCCCCCTGACACAACTTCAGGCCATGCCCTTGAGCCCTGTCACTGGCCACCAGAGTTGGTGCTGTCCCTCACTTCCCCTCAGGAGGAAGCTTCAGACCATGATGAGGGCTCCCCTCAGTCGCTGCTCTCACTCTGGATGGGTTTCTCCTGAAGCAGAAAATGAAGAAAGTGATTCCATACCAGATTATGTACACCTTGCTAAACACCTGGTCACATTGTCTGAGTAGTTCAGTGGTTTGAGAAATTTTATATTACTGAGTAATTTCATTGATGATTCAAGATTAAAATCCAAGCCTGACTGGCTTTCCTTGCTGGAGGCTCACTTCATGAAAAGAGGTGGCCAACTCAACATTGAAGAAGCCAAAAGACTAGGAAAAGTTTGACAGCCCTCAGATTGGCACCCTGCAATAATAGGCTCTCTTATTTAATCACAGCACATGAACCATAAAATCCCTCTTCTCAAGATGGATATCTTGGTTCTGCCAGTGAAAAATACAGCCAGATCTGCTGTGAGGTCAGCACAGCACAGCACCCTGTGCCTGTAACACCTAATCCTGAGTGCCATCATGTGGCATGTACGGGGAGCCAGCACTGCTGTGGCACCTCTAATCCCAGGTGCAGTTTTGGGCCCCTCACTGCAAAATGTCATTGAGGTGCTGGAGTGTGTCCAGAGAAGGGCAGAGAGATGGGGAAGGGTCTGGACCATGTGAGGAGTGGGAGCTGGAAATGTTTTCAAAACTTCCCAAGGGAAAAAAGCTTAGATCAGACTTCAGTGCCTTTCACTTTTTGTGTACCTCTGTGATGAAGTAATAGCAGCACAGCCAGAGGAAATTTTTCATTGGAAGGCTCCTGAAGGGGAAGAGGACTGGGAGATAACATGGACTGAGGATTGAACTGAATGGAAGTTTAATGACACACAAGGGTTTCATATTTGTGACTTAAGTCAGTAGAGTAGCTAATGGTTTCTGATGACCTTCTGTTATCATGCAACCACAACCTACAAAATTGCAGCAAAACCCCACATAACTCTATAATTTCCCCCTCTATTAAATACTGGTGAATGAATAGAAAATATATCAATGAATGCAAAGAGGTATTTATTTGCACTGTCATATTTGCATTAATGTCTGAAGTTTTCCTCACCATTCCTTGGCTATGTATAATAAGTCTCCAGTTCTATATAAAATCTTAAGTTTAGGGCAAATAGCGTAGTCATTAAAGTGCTCTTAGTAAATGCAAATGATGATTAATTATAAATGGCATCTACTCTCATATTTTCTTTTTTAAACGAAGCCTCCCTGAAGTGCTCCACCAAATCTTATTTGAAAAGGGTTGTACTGACATTTATTTCTGGTCTCTTCAGTTAAAGCCCACATTCTTACTATTCTTAGCTCAAGTTCTTGGTTCAAAACTGCAGCAATCTTGCTACAGTGTAGGGTGGCAGCTACAAAGAGAACAACGGAATAAGTCAATGGCTATTGTCTTTTTCTTTTTGAAGGGATGACTCACCCATCCTTATGAAGGACAGAGTAGATTCATTGTGTTGTTGTATTCACATGGACCAGGAAACACCAAAGCCAGAGCTGCAGCACAGTGAAATCCTCAAGAAAAGCACATAGGTCAGGGATGAGGAAAGGATATAGCAGGAGTTGGGATGAAATTCTAAGAGCAAGAGATGTATGAAATTCTAACTTGCAAACACAATGCAGAATTTTTTCAGAGTACTTTGAACATTTCTGTGGATCAGATCTGTTCTGAGACCATATTTATTGAGCTTGAGTATCTGAATATCAATAAAAGCCATAAAAATATATTTTATATCCTCTCATTTTAAGGTATCTCCACCACCTTTCCCCCTTTTGTTCTTTCCATTGTATTTAGATAAATAGACCAATATAAAATCCATCTTCTCTAACCAAGAGATGTTTGCTGAAGTCCCTGGCTTAGGCAAGTACATCTTGCCAGTTTGTTCCAGCAGGCTGTGAGCCCTTGGGCAGCCAGTGCCTGCCCGTGAATTGTGGTGCACCCAAATTCTGGGCCATAAATTTTTGGTTATTTATATGACAGCAAACACAGCGTGGAGCCCACTGGGCAGACCTCATCTCTGACTTTGAATGTTAAAAAAGAACAAAAAAAGAAAAGAAGAAAAGAACAAAACCTGCTGCTTGGCCATGCCCTGGCTGTGCCAGGCTGTGCAGGAGGGTGTGGCACAGTCTGGCTTGGTTTTGGGGAGTTTTCCAGTGTGGGGGCTGAGGTATGTTTGCCCTCAATATGCACCATCATTGTGAAATTCATAAACTGAGAGCCTCACTGGAGCAGTGAGTAGTTCAGCAAATATCTTCAGGATGGATTTCCAGAAATGTGTTGGAGGCCTGATCACACAGAGGTTAGGGCAAACACTTAGCTGCCCCCGTGGTTTACAAAGAATGTGGGAGACTAATCATAGTAGGAAAGTTATGCACATAACTTATTTAAACATTTGCTAATTCAAATATTTTATTTTAATGGTTTCTCTTGGCTCACAGTTAAATGCCAATGCATATTTGCCATCATGCAATATTTGATACAGCAATATATGTGTAAAACTGGTTTCCTTTACTGTGGCAAAATTAACTAACCTCTTTTCCCTGTCTATGAATTGTTATAGAATGCCTTGCAAAGTGTGGGTAAGGTGAGGTGTATTCACAGTTGTCATTGCCCACTCATTCAGTAAATACTGCTGCCTCACATGGTCAGATGTACAGCATCCCTCACACCATAAAAAGCACACTGGCAGAAATTATCTGCCCAGTTAGGGGGGAAAAAAGGAAAATGTGAAAGGAAATGGCACATACTACACTTTGCTTTCTATCTTGCCACCTGTGTGATTCAGAGAAAATAAAACATGCAGCTCAGAAAACTGGACTGTGTTGCACTGAGTACTGGACTGCAGATAGAAATTTCTTTTGTTCATTGGTAATTTTTCTTTGGTGCAGATTTTAATCATTAAGGCTGCACATTCCTAAAATAAACTGCTTGATGCTTCTAGATCTTTGGTTAGTGCAAGGAAGAATGTAAAAATATTAATAAGTTTAAAGACTTGTGATAGATACAAACAAAAATCTAGTTCTACTTTAAATGACAAATCAAGGCACACGTATTTTATACAAAAGGTATAAATTACTGGGGCCTTGATCAGAAAAAATACAAAACCAGTAATCCTGCCCATTATGGCTCTTTGGGGCTTTTCCTGGTTTTTGAGCTTTAAAAGAAAAACTTCCTGGAAGACACAAAGCATGGAGCAGCACTTGTAGACATCTGCTGTCCAGGGAATTTCTGTGAAGACTTTGCAGAAGCTGGGCTGAGTGGGGAAATTATCAAAACCACTCTTGGCTAGAAATGTGGACTTACATGTTTGAGAATCACAACCTTTAGTGCAATTGGCTTCTTTAGTATAAAGAATATTATGTAAATTTAATGTAGGGTTTTTTTCTTTCCCTTAGGACCACAGGTGTTTCTCTGCACATAAATAGACTTGAAACACAAGTACTGTGAGACATGGTACCACAATCATATTACAAAAATGAATTCTTACTGTATTAGCTTTTGAATGTCCTTAAACACTATACATACCAAAATTTAGTAACAAGGGTTTTTTTAATCCACTAACATTGCAAGTAAATACAGTTTATTATTTTTAAAGCAGTTTAATTTAGGTTTGGTTTTTTTTTTTCATTTCTGTGTTTAAGCAGAAGGGAATATTGCTTTAAGATGACTTCTTTTTAATTTTGATAATTTTTGGGAGGTATATAGGATAAACAAAAATCTTTGACAAAGATGTAATATTGTGGCCAAAGAATTAGTTTCCAATAAATTTTCAAAGCTCATGAGTCATTAAAAGGCTTCAGAAATGCGTAATTCTTGCCAAGTTGTGAGAATAAAGGAAGAAATAATGAGGCTGGCTAAAGGCAAACATAGAAACACATTCTTGAAAAGGTAAAAGAACAGGTAAAAGCATTTAGACAAAATGGCATATATAAGGTCAGTTTTATCTTTCTGGAGAAGGACTTTGAAGTTTATCAGTTTGTATCAGCTTTAAAGTATCATAAAAGTTGAGCAAGAGATTATAAACCGATTAGTGATGAGAAGTAATTACCATGGAGTTGCTAAACGACTGATTCCTTCTCTGTTTCCTGCTTTGAAAATATCTTTCACACAGACAGAAATGTGTTGCCTTGTATATCAAGAGTTCTATTATCATTATAGTGCAAGGGTTCTATATCCCCAGAGTTTTGTACCTCGATGTTTCTCACAGGCAGCTCCTCTAAACACTGACCATTCCTGGTCCTTGCAGGAGCCATCTGACTCCAGTTCCTACCAATCCACT